CCCCAAAACCCCAAAACCCCAAAACCCCAAAACCCCAAAACCCCAAAATTAAATCAAAAGATTGAAATACTTAGAACTTTATATCTCTCATTTATGGCTTATTTCCTTTTGTTCTATAAAATTAGCTCCTTCTGAAGCATAAATTTTAGAGTAAAAAAGGCAAAGGTACAGTAAAAGTTGGGATGGGAAAGGCTGGACACAGAGAAAGATCACACTATTTTTTTGTATGATTTAAGTCTCAGAATAAATTATTACCCAGAGAAGTAGGAGTTTTACTTAAAAATATATGCTCTCCTGAAACTTTAAAACAATACTCAATCCCTCCAAACCCCCAAAATCCACCCTAAACCTACCTTCTCGCTCTCCATCTTAATCAACAAATTCGCTTGCTTTTCACACTCAATCTCCCTACAAACCCCTCATCACTCACCCTTACCTCAAAATCTCTTCCCTCTCATCCTGCATCCTCCCCATCACCTCCTTCAACTCCCTCAACGCCATTTCCTTCTGTCCATATCTCTGACTCAAGACCTTCTCTTGCTCTAAAATCTCCCTCTAACCCTACCTTCCAACTGTCAATTCTCAACCTGCAGCTGCTTAACCTCATCACAAGTTATATGTACTTCTTGGCGATCTCTTCTTCCTCTTCCTCTTGTTCACTACATAGATGTGAACAGGGGCTTACAGTGGGTACAAGGCTTGATTGTCTTTGACTAAGGGTTAGGATATAGAGATGAGCTTACGTTTTTGCTCGTAGTATTTTCCTATAGGGTGAGGAAGAGAATTACCTTTGTATTGGGAAAGAGTCATGACTAGTTCAGTGAGAGCGGGGTCTTGGCTAAGAAATGGTAAGAATAAAGAATTTTAGTCAGCTTTAGATATAGATAATCCCGAACACTGCTGCTCTCCCTTCTGACCTATGCAAGCATGCCTCCATGCCTTTGGGCATGGAGGCATCCAGCTTGAATAAATGTGGCTGGGAGATTCATAACTCAGTGACAAGGAAAGAATATAGACACTGAGAAAAAGATTTTGGGCATAAACGATTCTTAAGGATCATGGGGGATTTTAAGGAGTTTTGAGATTTGGATGGAGAAAAATGAAAAATAAATTTTTGAGAGGAGCACGGATTTGAGTTAGAAATGGAGAGTAAGAATTAAACACTGTTCGGAAAGATTGCTGGGGATATTTTGTGGCTTAAAACTCTTTGAGATCTTTTTATTTTATGTTTTATATTACTAATGAACTAACTCGATCCTTTGTTAATTCCTTATCTTGACCAAATATGCTAAAAGCTTACATTCATGTAGATACCAGTCTTTCCTTGGTAGCCTCATCATTATCATCCCTACAAATTTATGACCAAGTTACTGATTTTCGTCAAGGATTATATCTATCTGACTGGGGTTGACTGATATAGAACTGGTAGAGTCCTCATATTGGGGAGAGCTTTCCACAGGCCTAGGCTGAGACGTAAGGACTTACTTCATCTGGGATTTCTCCTTGTCCTCAAACATATTCTGTACAATCCTTTCAATATTCTCTCTAAAAACAGCCAGTTTTTCCTTCCCTCTTAATGGAGAATCTAAAGAATCAGAGCTTGGCTAATACGGTAAAAGTCATATGAATTCTGATAGTCTTCATAAGTTGACCAGTCTCTTCTCTATATCAAGGGGTCAGATATTTCCTGTGATGTTACATCTTCAGAGTGGGATCTACTTTAGGCGTAAAAATCTAGCATTTCGAAGTAAACTCTTCTTCCAAGTCATCATTGAGCAGCTAGAATGCTGGAAATCCACCATAAAAATGTGAAAAATAGTCCAAAAAGTACCATTGGCTTCGAAAAGGTGCCATATTGTGGCTTCATTTTCAATTTTTATAATAATTGAGGGGTTTTGGGGTTTTGGGGTTTTGGGGTTTTGGGG